GTAAGTTCAATCAAAAGTTTCTCAAAAGTTTCTCGAAAGTTTCTCTCTTCTTCTTGTTTTTTTTCTTTTTCTTCTTTTTTCCTTGTTTTCTTTTCCCCTTTCTTTTTTTTTTTTTTTTCTCTTTTTTGATGGTGGACACAGTAGAGGGAAAGGGGGGATTTTTCCAAATCGAAACGAATCGATCGCAAAAATATGAATGAAAGCCGAGTACTCATCAAAAGTATCTTTACATAACTTTATCATATCTCATATGTTGTATATATATGTCAATAAGTTGATTAGGGATATTATTTAAATATTCAAATCTATTAGTATATATATATATATATATATATATATATATATAATATCATAGAAGTATATGTTTCTTTTGTTAAATCAGTTATATAAACTCTGTCTTCATCCTAAGAGCAATGTAATAAAAAATTAGATGACAATACGCCATATACGATAATCATACTTATCAGACTTTGTATACAATACTACACGTGATCGCATGAGAACACACAGTTTTATATACTTACTACTACAACTATTACTATTACAACTATTACTATTACTACTGCTACTACTACTATTATTATTATTACTATGTAGGACAACACGTGGTTCCTAAAAGAAAACATTTTCGGTGGCGCTCCCTACGTCGTTGTAGCCGTAATAGTCGTTTTTCACGAACCCGCCCACATCTTCCTTTCGTGATGCATTTGCTAACGCTGAACGGATCGGCAATCCTGCTGGTAGGTTCAAGGCCGATTACGAGTCGTCGCTATTACTTTCGCCAAGTCTCTTTCTCTCTCTCTCTCTCTCTCTCTCCTCTCTCTATCTCTCTCTTCCCTTGCTGAACATTCTCACGTAGTATATACATATACATACATATAAGATCGTTGTATTGTTGTTCCTTTGTATAGTGGCAAATATGTAGCAGTAGTAGCAGTGGTATTAGTGACTCGAAACGTGCTGTTTCTCTCTCTCTCTCTTTCTCTCTCTCTCGATTTTTCATTTCCCGGAGCAAGATGCTCCTCTCTCTCTCTCTCTCTCTCTCTCTCTCTTTATCTTTCTCTCTCTCTCTCTCTCTCTATCTCTCTCTCTCTATCTCTCTCTCTCTCTCTCTCTCTCTCTCTCTCTCTCTCTCTCTCTCTCTCTCTCTCTCTCTCTGTCTTTCTCTCTCTCTGCCGAAGTCTCTTGCTCCTCTCACGGCCGACTACATTCCTTCGGGATCAGAGCCGTGCCGCACCCACTCGAGCCCGGATCCTTCTTTCTTCCATCGGTGCAGAGGCTTAAGAGAGTAAAGAAAAGAAAGAGATAGAGAGAGAGAGAGGGGGTGAGAGAGATAGAGATAGAGAGAGAGAAAGAGAGAGATAAAGAAGCATTGGTCGTGTTCCCGAGTAAGAGAAGGCGAGAGACAAAGTTATCGCGTTAAAAAAATCTCTTTCGCCGCCTCGTGAATCTTCTTTACCTACCGCGCGCACGCAGTGTCCTCTTCCTCTGTATCCTGCCCTCTATATACCTTCTCTTTCCGTTTTCATCTTTCTTCTTTGTTTTTTTTTTTTTTTTTTTTCATCTTTTTTTCCATCTTTTTTTTCTTTCTTTCCCTAACGAAAAGAGAAAAGTCGCAAGAATTTTACCGTACCCTCTTTGAATATGTTCCTTTTCAAGCTTCTCGTTGATACCTCGTTTGTATTAATCAGTTTGGTATTCTTGAAATGATCGACGTTCAAAGTCGCGAAGTGTAGTTCTTTTTGAAGTTTCACTTTCTTTTGTTTTAAATGGCCGAACTCGACGCCATCTTTCATCGGCGCACAATTGGTGTCTGATTTGTATTATATACGGTGCTGATTATTTTTCTTTTTTCTTTTTATTTTTTTTTTTTTTTTTTTTTTTTTTACATTTGTTAATTACGTTCGTCAAAAAGTATTAAAATCAAGACAATAATCTCTTTCGATAGAAATTATTAATGGTCCACGATTTGTGGATTATTGTAAAATATCGTGAATTAGGTTATAGAAAACTGCGTCAGAAGATTTTGAGAGTATAAAAGCTACGACGACGAGTCATTGATGAGAAAAGTTGAGTGCCTTTTTTCTCATCGATTTTCTTTCATTTCTTCCTTTTTCTTATTTTTCCTCTTCTTCATCGTCTTCTTTATTTCTCTGGAACTCCTGGGAATGTCGCCAGAAAGTTCGCGCCACACTTATCTCTGGCGTTTTTACAAAAAGTATTGGTGTTTTAGCACGGATACAACAATCCTCGTACCGAGACGAACGCGACGAACCTTCCACGAATGGACGGACAGTTTCTTTCATCTCCCTGCGTCACGCTCCTTCGCGAAAGAAGAAAAAGCGATCCATCCCACGGGAACGATCTAGAGTCGTTCGATCGTATCTAACTGGAAATTAGCTTTCAAGACGGAACGGTTGTTGGATCTCTTCTCTTTTTCTCTCCCTTCCTTTTTTTTTTTATCGATCAAACGCTCGTTCACTCCCTTCGACATGATTGTAATAGCAGTAATAGTAGTAATAGTAGTAGTAGTAATACTAGTAGTTATTAAACGTGTGTTGAGAGATCTCTTTGGTATAAATAAAAAAAATCACCATTCTTTTAGATTGAGAATCACTGAGGGGTACCGTTCAATGGGGGAAAATTAATTTCGAAATAAATTGGTACGTAACGGGGGTTAAGAAAAGATAAAGGATAGTGATGTTCGATAGAAGAGAATGGAAAATGGGAAATGTTAGAGAGAGAGAGAGAGAGAGAGAGAGAGAGAGAAAGAGAGAGAGATATGAAGTTGAGAGTCACTGAAGAAGACAAATGGACGATTCGATACGAATGCATCGTGAACAAGTGTGCGTATGCTGATGCGTTTGATGTTCCTCCTGAGGCGCGTTTGTCGCGCCGGCACAATGTGCCTCGTCCAGTGATAGTAAACGACATACAACATGGATGCAAGTATGAACCCACAAATACGCACACAAAATGGAGAGCTCTCTCTTTCTCTCTTTCTCTCTCCTCTCTCTTTCTTGTGTATGCGTCGCGTCATTACACATGCCCGCACAAATTTATTCTCTCATTTTACTTCGTTTTTCTTCTGTTGTCCAGACTTAGTGGCCTTTCTTCTTCTTCTTCTTCTTCTTCTTCTTCTTCTTCTTCTTCTTTTTCTTTCATCCATTTTCTTCGTCTTCATCTTCTTCGTTTTCTTCGTCGGCGTCGTCATCATCATCGTCGTCGTTATCGTCATCGTCGTCGTCGTCGTCGTCGTCGCTGTTGTTGGCGTTTCCTTTTCTCTATCTTCCTCTTGTCCCTTTCTATTCGATAAATATGTCACTCGATGCGTAAAATATTTTCGATTACTCCAATTTCGTTGTAATATTTATATTCATTGAATTGGTATAATATCATTATGATAATATCGATCGTCGAGTGATGCTCGATTAGTGGTATAAATGTTAAAGGAATAAAAAAAGAAAAAAAAAAGAACAATAATAGATAAAAAAACAACGCGAATGAACTAAAGAGAAAGTAAATGAAAAAAAAAAAAAGAAAAGAAAAGAAGAAATAAAATTAAAAGAAAAGAATAAATAAATAAATAAATAAATAAATAAGTATAAGTAATAACATAAATGCGACAAGCAATGTGTACGATAAATAAATTTTCCCAGTTAGTTATCGCTCCGTAAGTTTAGTTATCGCGTTATCGCGTTAAACGTAGGAAATCTTATTCGTCACCGTGGAAAATTGATAAGAGAAAAATTCCAATTTTTACCGCATTAAAAATATCAATGTGGTATGCGTGAAAATTTTTAACTTAAATTGTTTTTTCTTTTTAGTCCCTAATTTACTATCATCAATCGATTCTAGAAAGTTTTCACGTTCGCACGTACCACCTACCTACTTACTTACTATAGTGAATATTCTCGATCGAAGGTTTCAACGAACGTGTAAGAGATTATTCTATCCAGCTGCCTTTCTCCGTCTGTTTATCGAAAGGCAGAAGGAGAGGAAGAGGAAGAGAGAGAGAGAGAGAGAAAGAGAGAGAGAAAGTGAAAGAGAGAGTGGGGATTTCACAAAGGACCGATGCAATTAAACGCGAAAGTCTTTGACGTGCCGCCGAGACTAATCAATCATTTAACGACTTTAATATTCCCTCTCTCATCGAGTTCCACGCTTGGATTATATTTACTTTTTGAAATTTGGTGAGAAAATAATAATCGTATACACCTAAATCCCGATTATAATCTTTATTAATTTTATATTTTTTTCGTTTTTAAAATGTACGTATTTCATTCGTATTTCGTTCCCTCTCGATTATTATTATTGGCTATTTGATAATTTCTTCGTCTCCTTTTCCCATCATCAATCATTTTTCCTCATTATCCTCTTTAACTCAAATCAATTGTACGAATAATTCGTTAATTCTTTCTTTTTTTCTCATACGAGGATTTATTCTAGTTGATTCGTACAATAAATCTCCCTAGAAAAAAAAATTACTCGTTTAGGGAAATTTTGTTTTAAAAGAAATGATAGGAAGAAGTAATAGAAGAAATGTTAGGAGAGTTAAGAGGGCAGAAATGGTGTGACGAAGATTCTAAACGCAGAGAGCAATAAGAAAGATAGATATAGAGATAGAGATAGAGATAGAGATAGAGATGGAGATAGAAGATGATCGGGGCTCTTTCCCGGAGCAGGAGCGAAGTTGGTGCAACGTTGAGAGCATACCGCGAGAGATGTCTTCCTTTTTGCGAGAGACCGGTTTCCCTCCTTTCTTACATGCCTGCCTCTATCTCATTCGCGCTTACTCTCAGCCAGACCAGAAGAGATTTCTCCATCCTTCTCTTCTTAAGTTAATCATTCCGCCACGCTCTTTTTCCCCTTACGAATAGTCCAAAGATCATCGAATTAATCGCACGTATTATCCGAAATTGTGCTTACCCAATTAGAATACCGAACGAAATCAATTAATAATTTTTCCATTAAACTTTATTATCATCTTTCTTGGCTTT